AATTGTGCGTTTATGGAATTATAGTTATACAGTTTTGGATGTATTACTCTGTGAACCTTACTCTGTGCACCAAACTGCATTCAAATCCTTTTTAGCATAACTTGCCTTGTGGGTATACTTATGAGATTATGGAATTGTAGTTTTACAATTCTGGAAGTATAGTTGTGTGTTTATGGAATTGTAGTTATGAAGTTTTGGATATAGTACTTTGTTAACCTCACTTGATGTTTTTTATTTGCAGAAATGGATGAGTCAGGTGTGGCAGATGACGCTACGCTTGGTCAATTTGTGAAGTCTGTAAAAAAGAGAACAACCAGAGCAGTATTGAGCTCACAAGCTGCTCAACTCACCCCTGCCCAGGAAGATCAAGCAGAGCCTTCGACAAGGCAACAACCAGCAGCTGTGAAAAGAAAGAGGGCACCACCACAAAAGCGAGAGAAAGTACGGGACCCTGATGTGAATTACTTCAGTACACGAATGGGTCCCAAGCAAATGTATGACCTTGTCCAGCGTCTAACACAGGACCAAAAGGATGCTGTGATTGATATGGGTTTTGGAGGGCTGCTGCACCTACAATTCTCAAGCAATTACTCACAACTTGTTGAGTATCTTCTGCAAAGGTTTGATGTTTTCAAATCAGACTTCATATTGGATGGTGACCATCTACATGTCGGTGAAGAGGATGTTGAATACATCTTGGGACTCCCCCGGGGGAAGAGAGATGTTGAGGAAGGTACAAAGAGTGAGGAAAATTCTACAGCTGCATATAATAAGGTCCTGACTGAGTGGAGGAAAAGATGGAATGTCAAGTCAGGGTCACCCATAACAACAAAGATGACTGATGAAATAATCAGGAGAGGTGACCATGGAGATGCCTTCAAGAGAGACTTTGTGGTGTTTGCTATCTCATCTCTGCTCCGGGGAAATACTGGAAGATATGCCAACTATCGAGTTATCAAGTCATTGCTCAACATCCGGGCAATCTCAAGACTTAATTGGTGCAAATACACGTACAAGTCTTTAATTGATTCGTATGACATTTACAAAGACTCTCCTACCAGATCCTTTGGAGGTCCAATGGTATCCATCCTGGTAAGATCCCATTATACATAAACTGTTCTAATTATGGAATTATATTTATGCAATTATGTAATTGTAGATATTCAATTCTGGATGTGTGCTTATGCACCTATGGATGTGTAGTTTTGTATTTGTGGAATTATGGTTTTGAAATTATGGAATTATTGTTTTACAATTATGAATGTGTGGTTTTGTAATTATGGAATTATATTCATGCAATTATGGAATCATAGATATGCAATTCTGTATGTGTGGTTATGCCCTTATGGATGTGTAGTTTTGTAATTGTGGAATTGTGGTTTTCCAATAATGGAATAATATTTTTACAATTATGGAATTATAGTTATTCAATTATAGATGTGTAGTTTATGGATTATGGAATTATAGTCATCCAATTATGGAATTATAGTCGTGCAATTATGGAATTATAGTTATGCAATTCTGGATATGTAGTTTTATAATTATGGAATTATAGTTATGAAAATAAGAATGTGTATCCATACAATTCTAAATATGTAGTTATTCAATTCCTTAACATACTCTTCTGTAATTCTTGAAGCTCTTCTACTTTGACCGAGTAGAGTTCAGAGGCATGACTGTCAACCGCACATTCCCAGCAATAAAAGCTTGGACAAAAAGCCTTGTACGCAAGCGAGTATCGGCTGAGATAAAATCAGGGGGTTTTGGTAAGGGCAAAGTTATCCCTCGATTTCAGAGACCTACTGCCATTGCATCTACATCATCACCCCGACCTGCACCTCCTCCTACTGCAATACCAAGGCCAGTGTGCAGCCCTGCTGCTACACCATCTATTCCAGCTCCATCTGTGCCTCTGACTAATGTTGGCCGAGTAACAAATGTGCTTCAACGGCTTACAGTAGATGTCCTTGAGTTCGGTCAGGTCATGTCTGACATTGGCAAGCAAGGGGCCCCGGTTGAAATCATGAAGAAGGCTTTTTCAGGAATATCAACAATGCTGAGTGCTGCAAGCACAATTCAACCGACTCCTAGCCCAACTGCCTCGCAATTGGATGACATCTTCTTCGGAAGTGAAAGCTTCACATCAGCAGTTGATTCTCTGGTAGCAGCTTTTGAAAAAACAAGAAAAGAAATGGAAATAGAAGTCCCATCGTTTGAGCTAGTTGGACGCTCTACACCCACCCCACCACCATCTCAACAGCAGCCTTTGGACACCCTGGTGGATAACATTGTGAGGAATGCAGGAGTATCAACCTCACACAGAGAAGGAAGCAACTCCATTACTAATCAGAGTGCCATTCAAAAAATCCACCACTCCTACTACCCCTGCTGCCCAAGCTGCTGCTGAGATTGATGAATTTGATAAGTAGGTTACTGCTTTCTTATGCAGATTTAGACTATGAATATGGTTTTCAATTCATCAATAATTATGAATATTAAGTTTGATTAATATGAATATATTCTTATTCAACTATTGACATTGATTTCTTTACAATTATGGATATGTATTTCACAAATTATGGACATATAGTTTATAGATTATGGAAATGTAGTTATACAATTCTGGAATTATACTTGTGGGGTTATGAACTGCCTCTGTTTTTTTCTGGACAACAGAGCTATGGAAGAAAGTGAATCTGATGTTGAGGATGTTACTGTGAGAAAGAGACCTGTGCACAAATTCAGGAACATCCCGCTTTATTTGAGGTCACCATATTGGAATAAGAACAAAGGCTCCATCAATAATGCAACTCCCAAAGAAAAGTTTTTTTCAAACTACGCATTTTTGGAAGCCTCAAGTGAGCACCCGGGAGGGTATGTTTCCATCCACCTATTTTACTTAAATTTTATTCATTAATTTATGTTCTTATATTTATTTATTTACTGTATTGTAGAGAGACATTGTTCAAATATGGTGATTACTACTTGTCAAGGGACGATTTTGCAACTCTGTGCAATGGTGAGCTACTGAGCAGCTTCCTAGATGTCTGGTCCCTATGTTTTACATTTCTAAACAGGTCTCGTGCGGTTGGGGAGACAAAGCGGGTCTACTTCTCCACCCTAGTACATGTAAGTGTTCACAAATTATGAATATATAGTTTTTAGATTATGGATATGTAGTTATTCAGTTCTGGATGTGTACCTGTGAACCCCTGGTTTTATAGTTTTGTAATTCTGGAATTATAGTTATGCAATTATAGAACTATAGTTATGCAATTATGGAATTGTAGATATGCAATTATGGAATTATTGTTATGAAATTATGGAATTATAGTTATGCAATTATGGAACTATAGTTGTACAATTCTGGAAGTGTATATATATAACTCTGTATGTATAACTTTAACATTTTCAACAAATATTATTTGGATTATGACTACTCATTCCTGCATTTGTATGTGCAGCTTCAAATTGATCCCAATGACTAGTGGATGAAGGATCTCCCAACTCACATAAAAATGAAGAATTTCAATGAGAGATTGAGCTATGAAATAACCAGCTTCGGGAACCTAGACATCAGTGATGCAGATCGGGTAAGTTCTATTACCCATGTCCAATTTGACTTTATCATGTCCAAAAAAATACTAACATTGCTTTAACTTTGAATTGGAATTAGATATTTTTCGCAGTTCATCGCCATGGTCACTACTTCTTGGTCTGCTTCAATGTGAAAGAACATAAAGTACAGGTCATTGACAACAATGAGTTACCAGCTGATGTTTCGGAGAAGGACAAATATGGCAACTGCCCACACTTATTGGTAATTTTGATAAAAAAAAAACTTGACATTCTTACCATTACCTATCTATTGACTTAAAAGCATTATTAACACTAAACTAACTTTTCTGACCAGATTGAAGCATTCAGTGGTTACCTTAAGGCCGGTGCCACTCCTTGTATGTGAAATTGCAAAAAGTTGATATAAAGTACCTTAAGTTGGACTGGGCAAACACTGAAAACGTCACTGATTGCGGGATCTATGTACTCCGGCATATGGAGACATTCCGAGGGACTCTACAAGACTGGCAGCCAGGATTCAAGAAGAATATGCGCTTGAATGTAAGACTACCATACATATTATAGTTTCAAAATACATTAAAAAATAAATAAAACTGCAAATGACTAATTACTTAATGTTCTTTGTTTATAGGCAAACTTCATGTGTGAACTGCGAGTGAAATATGCTGCCAACCTCATAAAGTGGAGAATGAATGAAGTCAGGGGGGAGGTTCTGCAAGCGGCCAAAAGAGTTTCGAAGAAGAATTGAATGAATATTCTTCAACATGTTGACTGAATTCTAAACAATGAGAAAGTTTTTGTGAACTACACTGACAATGTGACTTGTATTTTGTGAATGTGAATGCATGATGTTAATAGCTGAATAACAATTTACATCTGATCTATGCACCTCTTTCTCTTTTCTTTTCTTTTCTTTTCTTTACTTTTTTTTTTTTTTTTTTTTTTTTTGTTTTCACGTATCAAATCTATAATTGCATGACTACTATAAATCCATAATTGCATAACTATAGTTCCATAATTGCATAACTATAATTCCATAATTTCATAATTATAATTCCATAATTGCATATAACCAATTCCATAATTGCATAACGATAGTTCCATAATTGCGTAACAATAATACCATAATTGCAAAACTATACATCCATACTTGCATAACTATACACCACAATTTCATAACTACAAATTCCATCACAATGGGGACTACACATGCATAAATGCATAACTATACTTTCATAATTGCATGACTATAATTTCATAATTGCATACCTTTCATAATTGCATGACTACAATTCCATAATTACATAACTGTAATTCCATAATTTCATAACTATAGTTCCATAATTGCAAAACTACATATCCAGAATTACAAACCTAAAAGTCCATAATTGCATAAAATCAATGATAACAACTTGTAATTCTCAATCTACACATACATTGTCATCTAAACCCTTACTAAACTGAACAAAATTTGAACTTGAAGAACTTGGATGTACAAGGTATCCATCCCCAGCAAGCTTGGATATGTTTTCCAACACCAAAGACTGAACAGCACCCTTTGTACTCAATGCAGCTTTATTTGCAGCACTCCTTCTCCCCCTTGCAAGACTGTACTTCTTTTCAATAACACCACTCCTCCTTTTGTTACGCTCACCTTTCAATCTCCGACTTGAAGGATTTTGAACACCACCACTTGAAGATGAAACACCACAGTCTTCAATATGCACATGCCCAACCTCGGCTTCAACCTTTTTCTTTACATCATCAACAGCTTCGTCACACAATTTCCTAGCTACGCTGCTATCTTGACTACAACTAATCTTTGAAATTTTCTACTAATATCGAACACCCAAATTGATGGAGGAACACCAACATTATAAACCATAGAATCAATGTTGACATTCCTACCATCAATAACCTTTTTAGTCCATCTTTTAAGTATATATTTGTCGGGGATACTAGAAACACAATGTACGTGAAGAATGCGTATACATTGACAACATAGAATTCCCAACTCAGACATCAACTTGCAACTACAAGAAATGTCCAAGTTGGCTGCGTTAAAACTAACCTCATGCCTTATAATATCTATATCTGGCCACCACATGTGATACTTCTGTTGACGGCCATCATTCAACACCATCTCTTGATGACACGCACTGCCTTTCATGAATTGTTCCTCAAACATAAAATATATCTCAATCGTGTATACCTCTCTAGCATGTGAAAGAAGTTTCACATGCTCCATCATCATAGCGGGTACCCCTTGAGCACACCGAAAGTCTTCACCGTTCTCTTTACTTCTCCATTCAGAAATTACGCTTACAAACGATGAATAGAAATCACAAAGACCCGCTGTCTTGGACAACCTTCTAGAAATCGAATGATTTGTAGTTTCACTCCTTTGTGATGATAGAATGCCCCCAGAAAAATAGTCCTTGTTAAATGCTGGACACCACTTCTCCCTACAATCATATAGCTTTTCTAACCAAGTATTCTTGTGACATTTATAGTCAGTCACCAACCTGAAAATGGTAAGACAAAATCCCAAATGTTTATGAAGCAGAATATTAACAAGTAGCATCACCACATCTAACACATACTCAGAATTTCTACTGCTGTATATACATAATTGGAATACTATATGTCCATAATTGATAGACTATATATCCATAATCCATACTACTACATTTCCAGACACCACCAGTAAGTTCAACTGCTATATATCCATAATCGATATACTATATATCCATAATCGGAATACTATATATCCATAATCCATATACTACATTTCCAGGCACCACCAGTAAAGTTCAACTGCTATATATCCATAATCGAAATACTATATATCCATAATTGATGCACTATACATCCATAATCCATAGACTACATTTCCAGTGACCACCAGTCAGTTCACCTGCTATACATCCATAATTACTATACTATACATCCATAATTCATATGCATATGAAACGTAATGCAATAAAAACGATTAATTACTAACATACCTTGTCCAATAGAATTGAAATTCAGCTTCGGTCTCTGTGTATTTCAACACGTAGTTAAACATATCCAAGAAATCCTTATTGTTCCTTAACGTCTTGATATGCTTCTTTGAATTCTCACCAATATGCCATATGCAAAGACGATGACGTGATGTTGGAAACACTTTAGATATAGCAACAGCCATAGCTGCACATTGATCTGTCATAATAGTCTGTGGAGACTTGCCACCCATTGATCTTGAAAACGCTTTAAACAACCACACAAACGATTCTATCCTCTCATTCATCAAAAACCCGCATCCAAACATTACATTCATGTAATGGTGATTCATCCCTACGAAAGGGCCACAAATCATATCGTATTTGTTTGTGCGATATGTCGTATCATGCACTAACAAGTCCCCAAACACCTCGTAATCTCGTCTCATTTGACCATCCTTCCAAAAAAAACTGCACAACCTTGCATCCAAATCAAGTTCAAAATCAAAGAAAAAATCAGTCTCGGTAGACTGCCTCCTCCTAAAAATTTCAATTAAAGAGTTAGAATCCGTTCCATCCAATCGCTTGACAGTATCCGCAGCCATTGAATTATAAGCATCTCTACTGGTGAAACCAACTAAAGGGGACCCCCCTAATTGGTGTTTTAGGAACCTAATACCATCTGCCAATGCAATACCACTGTCCTTCAAACCTTGTAAATATAAGAGCTAATTATCTCCGACACTCCTATGTGAACGAAGTAGATGACTCTTGTTGAACACACATAACTCGTGATTGTGCACTTTCTCGTGTTTTGTAACTGTCCACAACCCATCATCACCCACGTCAAATTGAACAAACGCTCCACACCCTGTCCTTGTGTCAATTTTGGAATAAGCCTTAACCCCACTGTTTGCCTTATAACCAGCCTTAGAACAACAAAATTTCTTCATTTGAATTGTGTTCGTAGATCCCTTGTATCGTTGATGACCCTTCCTCACACTAAAACCAAGTCTATATGCATAACTGTTATACACCTCAAAAGCCTCATCAGCATTACTTACTACCAAACCAACCAAATCTTGATCAACTGCAAATATAACACAATAATAACCATTCCATTAACATATAATTCCTAACCAGAATTTGCTAATTAAAAGGTAAACCACTATGAATAAACCTGGAATTGATGAAGATCCATCAACATCTACATCTACTTGATATGAACTCACTGAACCATCCACAATGCCTTCACTAACTACATTATATAGACATGGTGAACATTACTTCAAACAGTTCATCAAACATCAAAAACATAGTGCCTACATATTCTGTATATATAGTTATATGATTATGGAAATATAGTTATACAGTTCTGGATACACAGTCGCAACAAACTGCCAAAACAGAGTACCCCGCTAATTCTGAATATATAGACATGCAATTCTGGAAATATATTTATGAAATTATGGAATTATTGTTTTCAAATTTTGGAATTGTTGTTATACAATTATGGAAATTACTTACGTGATTTTGCACAACTATTTGCAGATTCTAGACACAAACATCACTGCTAATCACATAATCATACAAAAAACCAAAAGGAACAATTGCAAAAACAATAACAAGATCACCTTGAATCGAATGCCAATCACCAACTGCGGAATTCGTCTGCTCTGTTCCATCCTCCATCTAGCAATCACTTTGTAATTCCCGATCCCCACTCCGATTTCGATTTGCGATTGCGATTTGCGAATGCGATTGAGATTGCGATCGTGATTCCGGTGATATCGAATGCCAATTCCGGTGATATCGATTGAGTTTGAAACTTGGAAGCAAACTCAAAAAGGAAGTAAACGCCGTTAACAGATTTTTTTTTTTTATTATAAAACACCGCGTCATTAGGCTAAAACGACGTCGTGTGGACCTGTATGCACCATGCATGGTGCATACAGATCCACAACATAATTTGCCATGTTTTATTGCTCAAAATTGGAGTGGGCTGGGCTCAGCAATTAATGCAAACTTGGCCTTGTATTCTAATCCTATATTAACTGGCAAATTATTGTGTGGACCATGGTCCACACAATGTTATGTGAACCATAATAAAAATTACATTTTTAATATACTAAATGTACATTATTTTTGTACCGAATGTATATTATACAATATAATGTACACTCAAAACAAAAATAATGTACATTCCTTGAATACAATGTACATTATTTTTTTATTGAATGTAAATTATTTTTGTACTGAATATACATTATTTTACAGTAGACAAAATATGGTCCACACAACTTGTGTGGACCATATTAGAATAATGATTGCTATTAACCCTGACAATTGAGTCACCCAAACTAGGCCTACCATGAACGATTATTACAAGGTAAAGCATCACATCTTTGGATTCATGAAACTAAGATTATTGAGTCAGTAGACTATAGCTTCGGACATCGTAGACTATGGCTCTAGACGACCTAGTTTGTACTAAGTTAGCAAGGCTTGACCTTGGTATAGGCTTTCATTGGACTTGGAATTCATCAAATTTTTCTTGTATGAGCCAGTCTTCATTCGATAATAAAATTAGATTGTTGGTCCCGATGAGTTTAGATTACAAGTCGGAGGAGGGGAGGGGGTAGGGTTAGAGAAAGAAGGATTTTTATAGTGGTTCGGCTAACTCAACCTATTCCACTCTTCTTCTAGAACTCCTTAGGAGAATTGCACTAATCACACTAGCTAGTACAATGAAGCGCACTTGTGCCTTGATCATAAAGTCAACCACAAGTCTCTATGTTTTTCACAAGTATCACCACTTGTTACTTCACATATTTCTATTTATCCACGTGGAGATGGTTGGGTTTAACAAAAGGTTGTTCACTATCTCCAATACAATTAATCGACTCGGCTTTAGATGCTTCTTGAAGACGCCATAGTCTATTGCTCTTGATCTTGAATTTGAGCTTTATCTCTCTCTCTCTCTCTCTCTCTCTCTCTCTCTCTCTCTCTCTCTCTCTCTCTCTCTCTCTCCATTGATCAGCTAGATGATTCCAAAATGACTAGCAACTCATTGTGACTTGAGTGGAGGTATTTATAGACCTATAGCACCTCATTAGATCGAGAGAAACAAATTCCAAAATTCTATTAACTTGCGGCGTGCAATGACCAGTGGATAATGTGGTAAGTAGCTCTTTGTAAGATTATCTAGCCGTTGATATTACTTTTGCGTCTGCTCCTTGCTTTTTGAATGGTGCAAAATGTCTAGGCTTATTTGGGAAATCTACATTGGGATGTGTACTTAGGACTTCTTTTCCTTCGTAAAATTCTTCTTGCCAATTGAGTATTTGAGGATGATTAATGTTTGTTAAGAGAATATCCAAACATATGGAATGGTATATACGAGAAAGTAACCATTGACTTCTCATGGTTAACTTTTGGATCTTTTTCTTAGCAACCTCTCGGGTTTGACTTTTCTTAGTCAATCTTTTACCACTTGGAAATTAACTTCTCGCTTATGTTAACTTTTCATTACCCCTACTTTCCATCCAGCTAAGGTTGGCCCTTCCACTTTTCGGCTATAGAACCTTCTGGTCTTGAACTCTCCGTTCCTTCAACTTTTCAGTCTTCTATTCCTCAAATCTTGAACTCTTCAACTCTTCAGATCTTCAGCTTCTCGATTATTCAACTTTTCCGATCTTCAACTTCTCTAGTACTCAACTCTTCATCTCTTTAGCTTCTCGAGTCTTCAACTCTTCATTTTTTTAAGATCGTCTTGACTTCCCGAAGGCCTACTTCTCAGAGGTTTTGTAACACCCCTAATTTTTTTAAAAGATTTAAAGCCTATGAAATAAAGGCAAATCTATCATTAATCATCCAAACAAAGTGGAACTAACAACATAAGTATCGGGGTGCTATGCCACATCTAGGTTTGAGAACCTAGATGCACAGGCTAGGTTAACTAAACAAGGCATAAACTATAATTAATATCCACAATACAATTCAAGGCTCACAGGCCATTTAATTAATACTAAGCTAAATCCACGAGTTCGTCTAACGCGCTCTGAAGCTACAAGTCAGTACCTGAAAAACATACGGTGTAACAACCGTCAGCGAATGATGCTGGTAACCCACTCCCACGCGTTAAGTACAATATAGGTAGATATAGGAAAATCATTTTGAAACCGGAATACATATATAATCTAAGAAACTCTAGCTTTAAATCAAGATCAAGACTCAAGACACAACAATAGACTTGACACTATAGAACAATCATAAAGACTAGCATGCATCCTAAGAACACAAGACAAGGCATAATAGACAAGTAAGCTCATAAATAGCAATTAAAGGCAACAATGGGATCCAATGACAATCAATTAGCAAGTAATCATCAAAGCACACAATCCATCTTCCAACCTTATACCAAGTTCCAACCTTTACTCCTCTCCATCCTTATATCAGTTCCAACCTGTACCTCCAGGCCACCCTTATATCGCCTCCCTTATTCATCCGGAGCAACTACATGCCCCACTCCGTAACCGCTAACAAGTCCACCAACATGGTAGCACCGAAGTGTCATTCGCATGGTCCGTGCCTCTAGCACCACTACTGTAACAACCCAAAATTTCATTTTATAAATCCAGTATTAAGAAATCCCAAAGTAGTTTTTTTTTTCACCCCATTAAAATTTTTTGCGATCAATCGGTGGTTGAAATAAAATAATGTCGTTGCATTATAAAATTTATTCGACACCGAAGGAATGAATTCTATTCGAAAATCTCTAAGTTTTCAGGTACTTCGCGTACCAAGATTTAAATTGAGAATTTTGTCTGAGAAAGACCCGGAGAATTCAAAAGGGATTTTTTAAACAAGTGTCCATCCAAATAGCTTTTTGAGAAAATTCACTTTCAACCCCAAAATAATAAAAGATAACATTTCTAGCCTATGGTTCATGTTACATGGTCGACCACAAGACATCCAAAATCCCTTATTGAATCATCTTTTAGCTTGTAGAATTACTCCTTTGCCCTCAACCAATCATTGTGAATCATCCAAGGGTTTTGAACCCTATATAAACCACCTTATTTCATCTCATTTTCCTGATCTCATTCTTTGCCTCTTCCTCACTATTCTTGTCTGCCAACAACAAGGAGAGAAACAACAACCTAGTAAACTTGTTCATCCTTCATTCAAGTCTCTTTTCTCTTCCAGTTTCCTTTAGTCTTTGAGGTTCTAGGCTAAGGATAGAAGGCGTGTTTGGGAAGTGTAGGTGGTGAAGGAGGCTCAAGCAAGGTCAAGAGGAATAAGAGATCCAAGCAAGAAGATTAGACTACAATAGGTATAATGTGACACCCCAAAATCCAAATCCAATTAAGGGATTAATTGAGTAATTAATCCTATTTCAATTTGTAATTTAATTCCTTAAATTCCTGAAATTTAATAGTTGGGGACTAGTAATTGACTAGTCAACCCCAAAGTCAAGGTTGTACATTGAGCTTTGTAAGGAGTTCCCTTGTTCCTTACACTTCCTTATGTTAGTAAGGGTATTCTTGACCTTTCACTTGTTGTTGGCAATGTAACCTAACCTAGTAAGACCACTTTCATTCTCTCCTTACACTTTTCTAAAAATCTAGCTCCACCCTCTCTCTAAAAGGCGAGTAGCTTTTCTTCCAAGCCAAGTTGGAACCTTGCCAAAACTTCAAGAGTTGCTTCCAAGATTCAACCTTTCTTATATTTGGGCATCTATGAGAGTAAGATCTAAGTTCATCTTGTGTTTTTGGTTTTATCTAAGGTGTCTTTTCTTAAATATAGGATCTTTATGATCTTTTGGTATGTTCTTGAAGTGGGTTTGGAATGTGAGCCTAGTGAAGAGCTTGTTGAGGTGTAAAGTGAAGTCTTTAGTCTACAAGAGGTAACTCATGCTCTACAAAATCTATTTTGCTTACCTATATGAATATTTCTTGGATTCTACATGTGTTTTGCTATGAAATATGAGTGTTTATGCATTGTCTTGTGAAAATGCATATCTAGAGCTTGTGTTTAGGGTTCTTGTGTGCCATTGCTTGGCATTTCCTTTGATTCAAGCCATTTTGTTGTATTTGGTGAGATTTGGCATGTTTTGGACTTGAATTTGAGTTTGGAGATGAAAATCCGCGAAGTGTGTTTTTGTGGTACAGGATTGTACTCGCGGGCGGAACGGCGGGCGGGGAACCACCCGTCGCCCCACCCGCGGGTACTAGGCTTATGGGAGTGTGTTCCCGCGGGCGGAACCACGGGCGGGGCACTACCCGCGGGTACACTACGTTGGTTGTTTGGGGATTTGTTTCCTGTGATCCTTTTGACTCGGTATTTGGTCTTTTGACTTCCCGTTGTTCTTTTGTGGAACTATTTGAGTGTCTTCTTGATGTTTCGTATGTCTAGAACTATATGGTAGGCATCCATGTAGGTTTTGGTGTCTTGAATCGTGCTAAGTGTTCAACATTGTGTTTCGTTGAACTGTGATGGGTCTTGTGTGTTCTTCGGAACTATCTTTGGTTTACCCGTTTGATAAGTATGCTAGTTCAGTGTTTAAATGCTAGCGTGTGTGTTGTTTGTACCTTCCTAATAGTGGATGATAACTTGTGTTATTTATCGTTGTTTTTGTTGGACTGTGATCCATTCCTTTATTGAGTATGGTTTCATATCTTCGTTGTGATCCGTTGATTGATTCCTGTTGTGGTGTGATGTGTGTGTGGCTTTACCTGGATTGCACGATTAGGGGTATGGGACACTAGTCACCAAGGTATTGCAACGGTCCTCGTGGTGGCCGTGACGTGATTATGGAGTTGTGACCTTTGTGTAAGGTTCACGTGATTCTTGGGTGGCATGTGTTGCCATGTGTGTGTACGGTACCCTCGTGCTATGAAATTGGTGGTCTCGTTGGTGGTCGTTGGTGGGGGACGACGGTCCCAGGAGGGAAAAGGTTGGACTAAGAAGTACAGGGGTCCTGGAGGTAATGGTTGGAAGAAGATACAAGGTTGGGGGTAGCCATAAGGTTGGAACCGGGCATAAGGAAGGCATATCAACTTGTGATGGGTGATGTCACGAGGGCTTGTGTAGCCGTTGTTGTGAGTTCTCTTCTTGTGATGTGTGTAGTCACAAGGGCATGTGTTGCCATTGGTCTTGTCTTTATCCTTTGTGTTGTGGTTATCCTTTGTGGTTTTGGGATGTGTTCCTGTATCTTTGTTGAGAGTGTTGAGTCTTGTATTGACTATTGCTCTTGGTTTTGTACTTATATACTTATGTATTCCGTTTCGAAAATGGCTTTACAACTTATATCTTATCTATGTATGTTATTTCACATGTATTGGTGGGTTACCAGCATTATTCGCTGACCGGGCGTCGTCCCATGTTTTATTGTGTTCTTTCAGGTGATGTCTAGGCGAGTGCGCAGTCTAGTGCCTGTTAGCGTAGCTTCTCCCGTCTGTTTTATGGCCTGTGTGCCGATCTAGTTGTATACTTTTGAGACTATGGTTTAGTTGTAAACAATGCAGATATCGCCGTAGCGTTCATCCATGTTGGTGAACGTGGCATAACACCCCGTGACTTGGATTTATGCTTATCCAGTTATCTTTTAGTCTTTCGCTGTGTTTGTTGTTTAGCTCAGTTATCTGCATGTTTAAGGCTTTTAAATAGCTTGTTTTTAGGGGGTGTTACATATAACCCCATGGATTCCTCTTTAAATTTTGCTCTGTGAAGCCTAGTTTTGAGTAGAAATGAGTAGAAACTATGAGATTTTGATGTGTTTATGCTTAGAAGTGATTTAGCATGTGTTTGTGAGTTGTTGAGATTGTTTTGGACTTGTTTGGATGAGATTTTGCAGGAGAAATATCATATGGTGCACAACACAGTGTGCACCAGATCAGAGTGGCGGCCCTAACTGCGGCCCATCAGAAAGGCCGCCGGCTAGAGCCGTGGTGGCACGGGACTAGGGCACGGCCCTAGAGGAGGGCCGTTGCCTAGTCCCGGCGCTTCAACGGGGCTCCAGGGACGGACCATGAGGAGTCCCGCCCCAGGTCCCTGAGTATTGTCTGTGAATGATTTTTGTGCAATGGCCGGGCCCTTGTGGCTCAGCTACGTGTCGTTTTGGGCTGTGTGTTACGGACCCTTGTGGCTCGACTCTTCGGGATTGTCTGAACGCACGTTTTGGCTTTGATTAAAACAAGTATGTTATGAAAACAAGTATGTTATGAAGGATTTTTTGAAGAATTGCTACATAGTGAATAATTTGCTAGTTTATTGTGTATGAAGAATTATTTGATTGTTGTGATCTAATGATATTTTATTGAGTAAAGAATCATGATCCTTTGAGAATATGACTCATTATGAAAGTATGATTAAATTGTATTATTTGATCAATGAGAATAGAAGCATATTTGTTGAGTGAAATGTATAGAAATTGCTATGTTGCAAACCGAGCATGATGATATATTCTTGAATACTTCATGTTAGTTTATACATGATTTAGAAGCATGTTATAGAGCACTTTATCATTCCACATGAGTCATATTTCAAAAATGCATAAGGGGCCAACGTGAGCCCAAGAATACTTTCAAAAACCATAAGCATGTGGTATAGCATTCTTTGATGCATTGAGAAGTAGTAGAATTGTTGCATGCATGAGAGATATATTTATGTATTATTTATATCGGTGAGGTTTTGGAGGATACCGTTCGGACTATGTTCCTCTCGGGAGATATTTATGGACATTGCGAGCCCAGTATATGTAGCGCGGCGTATTCCCACGTTACGAGGTTGGAAACTGCCCGCCAGGCTTGGAATCTTGGTTAGGGGGTGTGCACACTAATAGTTCGATACCCGATTCCACAGAGTTTGAACCACGAGATTGGTTCCGTAGACGGTAGGAGATATTGGGTCGGAATTATGTCGTTCCCGATGGGGTAAGTCACACTTCTCTGAAAAAAGGAAATGAATATATCAATATTTCACTGGAAATATAATCGACAATTATATTTTATAATTATATTACTTATTAATTATATAGAAATGAATATTAATTCTTTTATGAACGAAAAAAGGAAATGAATATTACCCACGGGAGTCTGTTATTAATATTCTGTAACTAATTGGCACGGAAATCAGGCCAAATGAAAAAGGAAATTAATATTAAAAATCGACTCAAATTAATATGTGTGTGTGTGTGTGTGTGCACGCGCGCTTTATAATTAACTAACTAATTGGCCAGGCCAAAGGAAAATGGAAATGATTATTAAACACATACTCGATTCTTTTTTTATGAATGGAAATGAATATTACACACATACCAGATTATTTTTATGACTGGAAATGAATTAATTATGTTTTGAGGAACAAATTGATAATATGGGACGAAGCACTGATGACGCACAAACACTGTTTTGAGGCTATATGGACAAAACCATGAGAGATCTATTGAGGTTTGCCATACCAGGTAGTGCTGAAAAGACATTTGGTGAAAAATAGTAGTTTTGGGCGGTGATTTTAGATAGATTCTTCCCGTTATTCCAAAAGCAACGAGACCAATAGACAATAGTTGTCAGAGCCACTATTACTTCTTCATACCTCTAGATAAATTGCAAGGTATTGAGGCTCACGAAGAACTTGAGACTACAGAGCTTAGCTTAAGAGGAAGATAGACAGACAGTTGATTGGTTTTCAAAATGGATTGCAGACATCGGAGATGGGATTACAGGGGTTGTAAACGGCGGTTTGTTTGAGATCGATATTCCGGTACTGTTTCTGTTGAAATGTGGACCCGCTGTAATAGCAACTATAGTGGAAAGCACCTTCGCAAGTGCGAGATCTGGCATGCTTGATTAGTCGCACCTAGAAGGCCGAGCGATGTCACCGACTTTAGATGTCGTTGATCAAATTAATTAGTACATGTGTGAAATGAACAGTGCAGAAAGTCGAACATATTTAAGGCAGAATTAGACGGTGAAAATCTATTAGAAGTACACACTCCTGAATTCTTAAATAGCTTGAGATTAGCTGGGCTTCCTAATTATTCATTGACATTAAAGGCTGGTGCACATGTTATGTTATTGCAGAATATAGACCACTCTCTTGGTCTTTGCAACGCTACGCGCCTCAATGTCACAAAATTGGAAGATCACATTGTCGAAGCAAGAATAGTTAATGAGACACATCAAGGAACCAAAGTTCTTATCCCCCGAATGTCTCTCACCCGTTCTGGTACGAGATTGCCCTTCAAGTTCCAACGTAAACAATTCTCGTTGATGCTCGCATATGCCATGACTATCAACAAAAGTCAGGGCCAAACACTAACTCACGTTGAGTTATTGTTGAAAAAACCGGTCTTTAATCACGGTCAATTGTACTTGACTTTTTCCCGAGCACCCATCCTGATGGCCTGATGGTGTTAGCTCTCGAAGAGGATGGACAAAATATTGTTGCTACTATCAATGTCGTCTACAAAGAGGTTTTCAATAATGTGTAATTCAAACCAATGATATTATGTTTTCTTTTAATGCAAAGATGACAAAATTGGTATATATCTACATAGAAAATATATCTTCCGTACAAATAATTTCTATAACTGAGTTGCTAGACAAAGAGATAATTAGCCCAATTTATACAAATCATAAACACTAATATATAAAATTTCTAAAGTTTCAGCACCAGATGCGTACATCTACACGTTGGCTATTAATTGGACAATTATTTGCTCGAATTCAAGCAATGATAACATCTGAAAACATAATCGATCCAACTCGATCAATTCTTAAATTGCACTATATAATATTCGAAGTTATAATTTATACAATTGTATATCGTTTCAAATATTATTAAAATATTATAACAAATTTATTCTGTGCAACGCACGGGTGAAAGTACTAGTGATATAATAGTAAGATTATTATTATTTTTAAATGAAAGAGTATTGTAAGAAAAAAATAATCATAATACCTTTTCAAAGATTCGCTTCTGATGATATTGGTATCCCTAAAAAAATGCAACAAAAACCCAATTATAAATAGAAAAGAATTAACAAATGGAAAATATTTGTAAGGAGAAAAGGGTCAAATAGACCCTTAAACTTTACTCAAAAGAGCAATTAGGCTCCTAAACTTTAAAAAAAGAGCAATTAAACACTTGTTATTTTTGAGCATCTAAACCCAGTAACCGGTTATTTACCTGAAATAATAGGTCATTTAAAATTCTGGCGATATTCTGGCGAAAAAATAAAATTTCCAGCGACATATATATATTAAAGCCTTTCACCAGAGAAGACGACCGGCCGGTCGTCTTCTCCGGTGGAGAAGGAGACCAGCACCACTGGTCGTCCTCTCCAATGGAGAGGACGACCATAGGTGCTGGTAGACGACCAGACTGGTCGTCCTCTCCATTGGAGAAGGCGACCAGCACCTCTGGTCGTCCTCTCCAATGGAGAAGACGATCGAAAATTTGCTCCGGCGAATTTTTTTTTTTTTTTTTAAGTTTTTAGCGGCGGTCACAATGACTTCCGGCGGTCAACGGCAAAAATTTACCAGTAACCTACAGGTTACTGGTAGGTTACTGGTAAATTGGGTTTATTTGACTTAAAATGACAAGTTCGAGTGTTTAATTGCTCTTTTTTTTTTTTAAGTTTAGGGGCCTAATTGTCCTTTTGAGTAAAGTTTAGGGGCCTATTTGACCCTTTTCTCTATTTGTAAGAAAAGTTGTTTACAACTAGGGGCGCAAATTATATCGGGCATCGCGGTGCATGATCGATCATGCACCGCACATCAAAACAACGTCGTTTTGTTTAATGAGAAGATACGGCATTCGTTTCCCGTCGTTTCTCACCCTTCCGTAAAAAGTAACTCTATTATTCTGTTTCATTTTGTATACAATGCAGTGTCAGTTCAACACAACTACAGTTTCACTTCGATATAACTACAGTTTCATTCGATATTTATAGACTAAAATATGTGAAAATGTTGTTTAACTTTATTTTATATATAATATAGTTTTATTAAAACACAACTACATAAACATTTTGATATAATTACAGCTTCATTGTATAGTATACACTCAAATATATGAAATGTTATTCAGTTTCATTTTATATATACTGCAGTTTTATTTGTCGTGAGGCAGTGTCGGTTTAGATATATTGTAGTGTCAGTTGGTGTTTAATACACCAAATATGCGGACTCCGTTAACAGTAACGGCGGACCGTTTCTTTACTTAAAGAAACGGCGCCATGCACTGCGGTCTACGATATAACGACTGAACTAGGGGTAGAAATAGGTTAGACTAGTCCCTTGACGACTTGACCTAGTTTGGATCTACATTGACCTAGTTTGGGCTTACAGCTTATACTTATTTTGAAACCTACTTAACTAAATAGGCCTAAGTTTATATCATTCAATCATTATTGTGTGGACCATGGTCCATACAAGTTGTGTGGACCATATTTTGTATACTATAAAATAATATACATTTAATACAAAAATAATGTATATTCAGCACAAAAATAATGTACATTGTATTCAGGGTATGTACATTATTTTTGTACTGAGTGTACATTATATTATATAATGTACATTCAGTACAAAAATAATGCACATTTAATATATTAAAAATGTACTTTTTGTTATGGTCTATATAACACTGTATAATTTGCCTATATCTTATATGTTTAAAGTCTATCTTATAAGACTACAGGCTTGGCATTAAGTCTATCTTATATATATATATATATATATATATATATATATATATATATATATATATATATATATATATATATATATATATATATATATATATATATATATATATATATATATATATATATATATATATATATATATATATATATGGGAAGGGTTCAGCCGTTCAGGTGCGGATATAGCTTCCCGTGCGGTTGTGCGGTTAGATCTGAGACGTTGATCAAATTTAGATCAACGGCTCAAATCAATGAAAATTAAAATATAAAAAAACGCGCGCGTGTCTGGAAGAAAGAAGCATAAGCTAAAAGTGGCGCACCTTAAGTGATAGAAACACACACCTTAAGTGTTAGATCTTAAGCACAAACTCACGCACATTAAGTACAAAACCCATACACATTAAGCACAACCTCACGCACATTAAGCACAAAACCCACGCACTTTAAATATTAACTCACAGACTTTAAGTTTCAACAACTACTGACATTAAGCACAAACTCATGCACATTAAGTACAAAACTCACGCACATTAAGCACAACCTCACACACATTAAGCACAAAACCCACGCACTTTAAGTATTAACTCACAGACGGGTAGCTACACTGTAAAAGACAGGTATAGACGAATTGTTGGGAATTATAATGATACACCAGGCAGTTTTGATAAATGGCTAAACTTATGGAAGCTTAGGATCCCACCCAAATGGAAAACTTTCTTATGGAAAGCCCTGAGCAATATCCTCCCTACCACAAGAAATTTGCTTATAAAGAGAGTAGATTTTGATCCCACTTGTGCCATGTGTGGAATCATGGATGAAGATATAATGCATGCTCTAGTTATGTGTGACTATGCAAGTTCCATTTTGGCTCAATCCCACCTTCCAATCCCCACGAATGTCACAAATGTTTTTCATACTTGGTTTGATGAATTATTGAATATTTTAGACACTGATAAGGTGATCTACGCAGCGGCAATTCTATACTTCGAAGGCCAGAAACAATGCCGTATGGGATGCATGTCTACAACGCCCACAGAAAGTGTTAGCTGCGGCCACCGCGGCGGTACGTGCATGGAGAGAGGTGCACCCCGAACGGAACGGACATACTGTGGTTGCACCGCCTGCTGCCCCGGACTCCACCGTAGCCGCACCGTTGCACGACCACGAAGAGGACCGCCACCAGCAGGCTGCTACTACCGGACGCAATCTGCCACTGCCGAGCCCCATTGTGGCGTCACTTGCAGGGCCAAACAAGTGCTATTTCGATGCTGGTGATTGGCACGAAGTAGACAAAGCAACTGTTGGGGCATTAATTCTCAACAACGATGGAAGGTACGTTTCGGCATTCAGTGCTCCGCTACCAAGCTGCTCCTCCCCGCTTATGGCCGAGGCTCTGGCATGCAAGGAAGTCCTGTCATGGCTATGGGATCGTGGGGAACGATCTATACACCTTTTCACAGATTGCTTAATACTACAGCAATACCTGACATCTGCACCTACTATTATCATATCATATCTCGGTTACGCTATTGATGCCTCAAGAGCTAGTATTGACTCGATTAATTACTGTTCAGTTATTTATATTCCTAGATTAGATAATTATTTAGCACATACCTTAGCTTCGTCTGCTTTTACACACTCTACAGCTATGTACTGGGACTCTGTCCCTCCAGACTCTATCTCAGAGTTTTTTGAATAAATGCCGCATTGGCTCCTTTCAAAAAAGAACTCACAAACCTTAAGTTTCAACAACTATTGACATTAATCACTAACCTCTCACACATTAAGCACAAACCCTACGCACATTAGGCACAAACTCCACTCACATTAAGAACAAATCTCGCGCGCACCTTAAGCACAAAAGTCCACACTTTAAGTTTTAACAACTACTCACATTAAGCACAACCCCACGCACATTGAGCACAAAACTCGCGCACCTTACGCATCTTATATACAAAACTCACACACATTAATCATAGATCCGCTCACCTTAATTTTGACCTAGATGCAAAAATTACAAAATTGCCACCGCATTTTTTTTTTGGCAATCCTTGACGTTGATTTAAGCGAGATGAATGACCTAGATTAAACCGCACAACCGCACCTAGGCACGCTAACCGCACCATAACCTAATTATATATATATATATATATATATATATATATATATATATATATATATATATATATATATATATATATATATATATATATATATATATATAAAACCGTAAAACTTAAATTATAATCTCAATTTTCAATTTTCTAACTTTCCCGTCGTTTCCTGTTTCCCTCCTAGCAGAATAGCAAACTCATCATTGCATAATACATAGTAGTAGTAGTAGTGGAAGCGGTGGAGTGAGACATTTGATTGATCAACCGTTGATCTCAAGTTCTTATTTTAATTTTTAATTTTTTAAAAAATTCAATTGAGGTTGATGATGTTAGTTGTTGTAGTATCTTCACAGACTATAACTACTCGTATATTATTGTTATAGTAGGTTTAAATTGTTTTTTTTTTTTTTTTACAAATATGTAAGCCATATAAAGTATATAACGTGTAGATCTTATTAAATAGACTCAAAGTCTACAATAGAGTCTCTTTAATGACCTACATATATGCCTTTAAAAAAGTGTTAGGCTAAGCTAGACTTATTGTAAGCTCAGACTTAGGCCTAAAAAGAGCCTACATACAAGTTCAGGCCTCAAATTCTCATAACCGGACATGCCTAATTTATCAAACGTCGCCCCAACCTAGCCTATTTCCGCCCCTAGTTGCAACTTAACAGTAGATCATTATACCATGGACCATGATTCACCTTGTAAGGTGAATCAGTGACATAAGTTCAGGCTAATTCATTAATCATAAAAAGAAATGTTTACAATACAGATCGTTAGAATGACAGTGCATTCTTTACAGTCAGACATAAAAACAAATTTCCTAACAATGTTATAGAAAACTTGGATCGCGGACTATTTTATAAATTTGAAGCGGAAGTTGTTGGAAGAACTCGATGCTTCTTCATAGATCTGGTCAAACATAGCCAAACCTGACTCTGATGTGACCATTTTATCATTCCACGTTTATAAAGAGAACTCGCCAAAGAAACGAGAGGAAAACTCGCCAAAAAAACGAGAGGGAAACACTCGCCAGAGAGACGAGAGAAAACAAACTAGTCAAAGGAACAAAGGGATAACATAGAACCAAAAGAAAACAAAATAAATGGAAAAGATGATAGAAAACCTATCAGATATGAAGAGTCTCTGACGCCTTCTCTGAAAAAACGATCGGAGATAATCTGAGATCTAACGCTTATTCCTAAAACAGCCAGAGGATGGAGTCTACTAATGGCACCGCCGGCTCAACCCTCCATTAGAGCGTCAGTCGGCAGTCGGAGAATGGAGTCGCAGGGCGTTTACAGATGAAAAAAAGAGAGAAAGCAATTGTTTTAAAAGTTCGTTTTTAATATATTGAAGTTTCATTTTTTTTTTTTGTATTGAATGTTTATTATTTGGTATAGTACTTAAAATTAAACTTTTACTATATTAAAATGAATTTTCAATATAGTTAAATTAAACATTTATTTGTGATTCATTTTGAAATGTGGACCATGGTGGATATTATAATTTGTCTAATAATGGAATATGTTAAAAAGTCTTCTCCAATACTTTTCTTTTAAAAAAAAAATTTTGTCAACTATTTTTAACGCATTACGTTTGTCTTTTATTCCCATTCCTTGTCTTTTACATGGACAGATATAGTCCTAAAAGACGTTTAAGCAAATTATTTTGTGTTCAATAATTATTAATGAATTAATCAACTACATCAACAACTACAAACTTTCAAAAAAAAAAAACATCAACAACTACAACTTTATATTAAAAAACTATGGGTCTGTTTGGTAAATGGTTGTTAGCTGATTGGTTAATTAGAGGGTATAACTAGTTGATAACATTAGCTGATTGTAGAAATATGTTTGGTAAATTAGTTGTTAGCTGGTAGCTGTTTGGTATAATTTATTTTCTCAAAAAATTAATTGAGAAAGTTGTTTTGAGTAACTTTTTGAATTTTAGCATTCTAGAGTTACAAAAATAAGCTAATTAACTAAACACTTATATTAATTTTTTAACCAAGTCAAACAATTAATAGCGGTCAAATAAGTAAAAATTGGCTTATAGGCTAACATTTTACCAAACAGGACCAAAGGGGTAATCAACATTTTAGTTTAGATTGTGAGAATATAATATTAACTTGTTTGTTTAAAGGGGAAATTCACATTTTGGTCCTTCCATTGTTTCCCAACTACTATCAATGTACTATAGTTTTTAATTTCAACCAATTTGTTCTTCGAATTGTTTAAAATTTCGTTAATTAGACCCTTTAAGAAACTAAATTGACAAAATTTTAAAAATTCCGTACATCATGTTTTGGGCCGTTGGATGATGCAACGTCAAGGTTGTGCACAGATTCATACGTACATACGTGTATATATATATATATATATATATATATATATATATATATATATATTAAAAGAGCTCCAAAATTTGTTCACTTATATTCGGTTAACTTAATAAACGTATATAAATGAATATTTACCGAACACTACGAGTAGTTTATTAAGTGCTATATTCGCTAACACCCTTACTTGAGCCAAATGTCCCGTAAATGCATTTAACAAATGTCCCGTAAATGCATTTAACATTATTATCCTTAATAAATTTACCATGTTAAAAATATATACTTAGGACCATTTCTCAAATGCATATATCATTAGGCCAATAACTAATTATAATTTAAAGGCTAAAATTTGTGTGAGACCGTCTCACCGTAAGACGAGTCTGATCGAGATAAAAATGTAATACTTATACACACAAATCACAAATATCATACTTATATATTCAAATGTAATACTAATCATAAATAAATTTTTTGTTACTTATAAAGGTAAATGTAATACTTTTAAGGGAAAATGTAATACTTTTACATTTCGATTTAAAAGTATTATTACATTTTTCTTCAAAAGTATTATATTTTCCCTTGGGGCACTTGCCAACATTACTTATTATGGAAAATGTAATACTTTTGATGGAAAATATAATACTTTTACATCAAAATACAAAAGTATTACATTTTTCCTCAAAAGTATTACATGTTTCCTTATAAGTAACCAAAATTTTTAATCCTGATTAGTATTATATTTAAGCATATAAGTATGACATTTGTGCATATAAGTATGACAGTTGAATGTTGATCGATTTGACCTGACTCGACCCGTCTGACAAATAAGAATATATGAGATGGTCTCACACAAGTGTGACCCTAATTTAAATTGTTATAGTGAAGTAACTAATTATCGATTTAAAATTAGAGTTTATAAACATTTGGTATTTAGTTATTTACTATTGATCAACTAACCTTGTTTGTGCCGTAAATGGTATCACAGTAAGTGAAAACCGATGCAAAATTGCTATTACAGCTCTCCCCAACAAAATGATGGTAGTCATGGTAGATTGCACCTCCATAGAAAGGAATGTACTTCGAAGGACTCCATGGGAATTCATAACTACAAGAAAAACAAAAAAGTCCAGAATTTTGAATACCATTTCATTATGATGGAATTAATTAAATCGGGGGTCCGACTTAACTAACCCGAATAAGAGTACGAATAATAGATAAATGATACGAATGATATAGTAAAGGCCGTGAGACCGTAGATTGTATTAAATACCGTGGAATTGGCTATTACAATGATTCTTCAGTACAAAGTGTGTCCGTAAAGTAGATCGTGTCCTAACTGGACAAGGTGGGGGGTTTTTATACAACCCCCGCCCCTAACCGCCACCCCCTAAAGCGGGGGTGGTTAGATCCGAGTTGACCGCGCCTGGTCTCGCGACCGGGCCGTGCTGTGGGGCTAGGCCGAGCCCGTCATGGGCTCGGGCCGAGCCCATTTGGAGGTCGGCCTGGCCTCCGACGTGGCCCGTGCGGGGGCCACATGGCGCCGCCCCGGGACCCGTTCTTGTTCACGCCCCCGGGTCGGTGCGGGTCGATTCCTAATATATCCGTCATCAGTCCCCCACTCTCCGAGCTGCGAGTAATCGTCAGTGAAGGAGAGTAGACGCTCTGGCCGACCTCCAAAAAATACCGACCCCGTGACGCCCGCGTCCCCGCGTTATAGTTGCCGTCCCAGTGTACTTCTCGCGATAATGATGAAAAAATTCCCTCCGGAATATGACTCCTTCATCTGTTAGGACATACACAGTAGAGTCCTCTTAGGTCTTGGTCATCTTCTCCAAGTCAACCAATCACATCCCTCTTTTCAACCAATCACATCCCTCTTTTCATCTTCCCCCCCCCCCCCCCCCCCCCCCTTTTTTGCATTTTGAATTTCAAAATTCCCCCTCTTCCTATCTCCCCCTCTTCTATATAAACCCCTTCTCCCCTCTTATTCTACACTTTTACCATCCCAACATCACACCCCTCTCCCCCAAAGCTCCGGCAAGCCACCACCCTCCACCGGATTCCGGCGACCACCCCACGGCGGCAACTTCCGACGAGCCACCATCGAATTCCGGCGAGCCCGTGGCAACAAGTTCCGGCCGCTCTCCAACTTCCCCCGTCGCCGAGCCGTAGGCCCGAGCGTGGTACACCCCTCTCTTCCCTTTCTTTTTACTGTTTTTTTTTTTCGAACCACCCTGCCGCCGCCGCGACGCCGCTGCTCCGTCGCGGCGGCGCTGTTCCGCCACTGCCACGGGGTGGCTCGCAGGCCGCGCCCCCGTGGTCCCCGGCCGACCCCCCGGGCTCGGGCCACGGCGAGGACGGCAACGGCCGCCCCCCACTGCCGGGGACGCGCCGCCGCCCGGCGACGGGTCGTGCCGACCCCGCTCGCCGAGGCCGTGCCGGCCGGCCTGTTCTGCCGACCTTGGCCGAGGTCCCTCAAACTGCCTTCCCCTTTTTTTTTTTTGTTTGACACCTGCTACAGCGTGGATGCGCCGGCGCCGGCCTGGGCTCCGCCGACCCCACCCGCCGAGGCCGTGCCGACCCCGGGGTCGGCCCGACCTCGGCATGGCCGGGCCCGGGTCCTTAACGACTAAATTTTTTTTTTTTTCATTTTTTATGTGTCAAGCACGCCCCGTTCTTATACCCCATCTCTTTTATCTCGTAGGTTTAGTCGGTGCATGTACACTTCTTCCGGTTCCTTGGACGATTTTTTGGACTCCGTAGACACTCACGTCCTCCCCATGGACGAAACTAGCGACCCCCCCCCCCCCACTCCTTTTCCTGCTCATTCCCCCTCTGGGGAGGTCACCATGCCGTACGACGGTCCATTAGACGCCCATCCTCCCGTCATGGAGGATCCCTTCGCGGTCCCGTACGAGGATCCCGTCCAGTACACTCCTCTGGAGACACTCGTCGCGGCCTCGACCTTGGCTCAGACCTCTGTGTAGGAGTTTGAGGAGGCCAAGAGCTATGTTGGATCTGCGGGCGAGGTACGCCTGCCTACTCCGTCGGGGAATGTCACCGAGCCGCCGACACCCCTCTTCTTCGGGGTTCACGTGCAGTCCATGTACCTTGGTTTTCGCTTCCCTATTCATCCCTTCGTCGAATCCTTCCTCAACCACTACGGCATCGCACCCGGGCAGTTGGTGCCGAATGCCCATTACTTACTTCTTGCCTTCTTGCTTCGCTGCCACACCATTCGTGTCAAGCCCTATATGGATCTCTTCCAGAGTTTGTTTCAAGTCACCTCGTCCTCCGGCCAGGCCAGTAAGGGGTTTGTGGGTATAGCGGCCCGGGCGCGTATGAAGACGTTCCATGACTTCAATCAGACCAACAGAGATTGGAAACCGCACTTTGTCTTCATCTCGGTTGGTGATCGTCGGCCGTTCCTATCTTGGAACAACAGGTTTGTGCGCCACAGGGCCCCGCTCCAGACGGCCGCTCTAGCCCGGGACGTCCATGCCTTCCGGGGCGATCGGGGAGAGATTATCATTGGCGAGATGATTACGCCGGAGAACATGCGTAGTCTGGGCTTTGTATCGGATGGGCCGCTACCACCTCGTATTCCCCCGCGCCTTCTGCGTACGCCCCAGTCGGATGCACGTCCCTTGATCGAGTTGTCGGACGATGAGCCCCCAGAGCAGTCCCCGGGATCCTTGGGTTCTTCGGGCGAGGTCTTTGCCGAGCCCAGGTCCTCCGGGTCCGCTGTCGGCCCTTCGCGTGCCTCTACTCGTGGTTTGTTCCCCTTTCCTTCGCTGGCCCGTTGTTTGTGCATATGGCTTATGGATTAACCCTTGCTCGTCTCCTTTTGCAGCGAGATCTCCCATCATGTCTTCGTTTCGTGAGCTCCTTGAGCGTGTCGTGGCGCGTGGCCCCATTGCGAAGAGACAGAAGGTTACCACGCAGTCTGGCGTCCTCCCTTCTGAGCCTGGTGCGCCCCCACTGGGAGGGACGCGGCCGCAGGCGAGCCGCCCCCCTGTACCACCGGCTGTACCGCCCCCGTCGCCGCCTGCCGAGCACGCGACGCGGAGCTTGCCCCCTGTCGTTCGAGAGGCCCTCCGTACCATCGAGGTATGCATTCTTGCTTGTGACTTCCTTTATCGCACTTAGTCCTCGATGTTGCTTTATTATGATTGTGTCTCTTCTCAGGGTTGGGCCGTGTCCACCGTGGCCCTTGTCGAGGATGAGCAGGGTCGCGCTCGTGAGCTGGTGCGAGCTTTGGAGGCCGAGACCAGGCGGGCCGATGAGGCGGTCAGGCGTGATGCTGAGTCCCGAAAGGCCCTGGATGCGGAGCGGAAGAGGCATGCGGAGGAGCTTGCACAGGTCGTCCCCGCCTACAAGAAGTCGGATGAGTTCGAGCGCGATGCCGAGGAGTATGTCCGTGGGCGCAGCGGCGATATAGTCACCTCGTGGCTAGCTAGTGATGCTGGGAAGGAAACGATTGCGGAGGAGAGTGCTATGGCCTTCCAGGTGAGCCGATATGCTATGCAGCAGGAGATCTACACCGCCCTTCGTCAGAAAGGAGATGCCTTCGACCCGGTCGCCCTTAAGCTGCCGGTCGAGATGGAGAACCCCGAGCCAGTGACCCCTGCGGCGGGCTTCTCACTATCACCCCTTGATCGCGCCGACGAGCCTGTGGAGTTGGTGGCCTCCTCGGGAGTTATTTCTCCCACTTTGCTGAGCGTTCATGTTCCTGACTTGGATGAGGGGGCCGAGGGAGTGACTGTTGCCGTTGCACCGTCGACTGAGCTGCCACTTGCCGCCGCGCCGGGTTCGGATGAGCAGCCTTGATTGTGCCCGTTTCAGCTCCTTCCCTGTTTTGTGTATCCGGGCATAGACTTTAGACGTGTACTCTTGCTCTCTTTTGCTGTTTGTTTCCTTTGATGACTCTTCCTGCTCTATCTTGCTGTGCTTCGAATGTTGGATCTTCGTTATATGTTTATGGCTTATGTTTAATTATGCGTTCCTGCTGCCATAACCATGTAGGGGTTTTTTTTTTTTTTTTTTTTTTGGTCATGTGTTAGCCTCTTCGACAAAGTTCGAGGGGACTATGTCATCGGGCTCTCCCGTCGGGGTTGGTACGCGAGGCCGGACCTCGTGCCCCCTTAGGGTGCGTTAGCCTCTCAGGCTAAGTCCTTGCGGACTACGCCACTGGGCTCTTCCGTCGGGGTTTGTACGCGAGGTCAGACCTCGTGCCCCCTTAGGGTGCGCCAAACCACTTGGGCCCAGTCCTGTCGGACCAGGCCACCGGGCTCCTCCGTCGGGGTTTGTACGCGAGGTTAGACCTCGTGCCCCCTTAGGGTGCGCGTTAGCTGCTCGGGCACTGCCTGTCAAGACCGTGCCACTGGGCTCTTCCGTCGGGGTTTGTACGCGAGGTCGGCCCTCGTGCCCCCTTAGGGTGCGTCCTCCGTCGGGGTTTGTACGCGAGGTCGGGCCTCGTGCCCCCTTAGGGTTCGCTGGGGGGTAAGGCATGAGTGAGCGCTCGTTCCCCCCTGTTTCGTGATTTTTTCTACTTTTTTTTTTTTTTTTTTTTTTAAGGGAGATAAAATGCATGAGAACCAACTTTGTAACAAAAGGATCCTGCGCACAATGTGTTCTGTAATATGCGATTTTATTCTGACTATTGCCGCTCACTAAGACATTATTAGGGGAGGGGAATAGTCCTCCTCCTAGAGTAGCAACGCCAAGACCCGCCTCTCACGTGGTATGTCTACTGGTAAAATTTCAGCAGGTGCTCGGGTAAAAGTTCCAGACCCTGGCTATTATCTTTCCTTTGGGAGTTTTGAGCTTGTAGCTGCCCGGGCAGACCACGGCTGCTATAATGTACGGGCCCTCCCAATTAGGGGCAAATTTTCCTCCCGCCTGGGGCTGGCTTGCCTCTCTCCTCCTGAGCACGTAGTCTCCCGCTTGGAAGTAGCGGGGCCGTACCCGCTTGTCATGGTAAGCTTTGGTTTGTCTCTGATAATTCTCGGCTCGAATCGCAGCTGCTTCGCGCCTGTCATCGATCAGGTGGAGGTCAGTTCTATGGTGCTCCTCATTCGTGTCGGGGTCGTAGTCCTCCTCCCG